TCTTTTAAGATGGCTGTAATTCCTTCTTTGGCCTATTAGAATTGACTACATATTATTCTTGGTCTCAAGCAGGATTTCTTTGATGAGGAAGTTGAGGTGAGGAAGTGCCAAGGACTTAAGGAAGACCCACAGTAAACTCCTGGGAAATGGGACCACAGGTAAGCCCGATGCCTTTTTCTCAGTTAATTCATTATTCCAGAATAAGAGACCTTGGTCATTCTCTTGCCTACCTACATTATCTTTTTCTAGCTTTGCCTTCATGTCTTTCTATATGTCTTAGTGATTCTATTGCTGTATCCCAGACATATCCCTCTTCTCATTCACTGACTCTTTTCTCCCTTCCCAATCCCTGTTTCTTCTTCTCCTTCTCTTTATATTTTCTTCAACTCCCCCCCCTCTCTATATACATATGTTTACCATTAATATCTCTCTCTATCTCTGGAGTACCATTTCAAAGACCCTGAAAGTCAACAGAACCAAGGTTCAGGGATTATATCAAAGATAGGTTTATGTGGTTTTGGTTCTTATTAGCCCACTTGACTAAATGGAAAGGTGATCTGATCGATCAACTTCTGATGTTCTAGGGCTGTTTGAATACTCTGGTAAAGAAACAGAACACAGCACTTAACGTCTGTGTATTGGGCTGGCAAAGGATTCCTAAGAATGTGCTTTGGAGAGATGGATGAACAGTGAAAACCAATCCAGAAGTGCTTGTCTCTTCTGTCTTCCTCCTGTGTGTGAATGCCATCTAGTGGGATGAAATGGGAGGACACCACAGTAATTGTAAGGTAATGCCCAAGATTATAAATGTAAATAATTTAAAAAAAGGAATAGGAAGACACCCCGGCCGCTTGGCTAGCTTATGCCCGAAATAACAACACACAAACTATATTCATTTAAGAACTGCTTGGCCCATGAACTCTAACCCTTACAGGCTAATTCTCGCACCTGGACTAGCCCATTTCTAATGATGTGTGTAAGCACCCCAAGGTGCGCTTACCGGGAAGATTCTAGCCTAAGTCCATCGTGGGTTGCAGCTGCCTGGGAGAGCAGAGCATGGCGGCTGTCTGGTCCCTCTGGAAGCAGTGCAGAGTCTGACTTCGCCCACCTATCTTTTAACCTATCAGGGCCAGCAGTTTCTTTATTGCTCAGCCAATGAAATCAACAGATTGATATATGACACTCCCACATCAATCATGTTAATCTGTCTCCTGGGAACCCATAATGTTCTGAGAAATGAGTGGCTTTCATTTAGGATGGCCTGCTGAGGGATTGCTGGATAAGGGAGTAGTTATGTTATGGGGGACTCAGGGCACTGGATCAGTTTCCCTTCATTGATTGCTGGCAAATTGTGGTTGCCACTTGCACAGAATGGTGAGAGACTTGTCTCAAGTAAAACTAGAAGACTATGATGATAATTTAGGTTTTTTTTTAGAATAGATCAGAACCTGAAAAGCCCATTTTGTTCTGAGGGACTGGAGAAAATTCCCCTTTCATATGCCCCTTGTATGCCCCCATCAGCATCTGCATCCCCTGTGCTCTCAGCACCAACTGTGGCCCTCTTGGCCAGAACTCTGACCTGCCAGTGCCTATATTAAACCAACCTCAGCAGATGCTTCCGCAAGACCAGGATCTAACTGAAAGGAGCATTGAGACTTTTATGGCCCTGCCTAGAATTCACCTCCTCCCCAGAATTATTTGAAACATGAGAGACCCTCCTGGCTGGATTCTGAGCTACTGCAGGCAGCATCTCATACACAGAACACCCCTGGCTCACCCCATGAGAAATCACAGAATAACTTGTTTGGCAGCCTTCCCTGCAGCACCCCACCCCCCGCCCCCGCCAACTCTCTGAGACCCTGCAAGGTGCCTTACAGACTCTACTGAGAGAAACCCAGGGACACCCTCTATTATGACCAGGACAGGTGAATATGAGGAGACTAACACATTTCTATCTGTCTTTCTCCACCACTGGTAGAATCGTACACCATCATTTACAGAAAAACCACAACCCTGGTCATAGTGAATGTATTTTCACCTGGAAATCTGTTTTCACTTTTTTTTTTTTTTTGGCAAGATGAATAGCCCCATTGCTGAAGACAACACCCACACAACCACATGAGATCTGAATTGGTGCCTACATGAACCTTCACCCCCATCTTCAAGTATCTTTGGCACAGGAAGGTACTCTGCAGGCTACCAAAAGAGAAATATAAGTAAAAAACCAGTCAAAAATCCTTCGATCTACAATCTTTCACACCTTTCAAATATTCTAGGGTATTGGTGGCACAAAATGTGTAGGACCAACTAACCAATGTCTGTTTTGACTTACGATCTACTCCACGAGATTGAACCCATAACCAAAACTACTTGGGTAACCAAGAACCAGAGACCAGATAGCCAAGAAACCTATGATAAAACCAAATACTATAAAATACTCATAGATCAGTGCCTTATTCAGACATCATCAGAGAAGCATCCTTCTGTAGCAGATGAGAATAAATACAGAGACACAAAGCTAGACATCACATAAGAGAGAGAGAGACAGACAGACAGACAGACAGACAGACAGACACACACACACAGAGAGAGAGAGAGAGAGAGAGAGAGAGAGAGAGAGAGAGAGAGAGAGAGAGAGAACCTCCATTAAATCTCCTCCCTCAGAGCTCAGGAATCCTAACGGAAAAGGAGGTGGACAGAGATGATGGAGCACACCATAAGAAAAAGACCCTCTAAATCAACATAAACAAAGCTCATATGAACTCAGAGATACTGAAGCAGCAAGCACAAGTCAGACATGGGTCTGCACCAGGTTCTCGGTGTATATAATATGGCTTTTAGTTTTGTATGGCGCTCCTGAGTGTATGAACAAATGTGTCTCTGATTCTAGAGCTTTCTCCTAGGGTCCTTTTCCTTCTGTTGTTTTGCATTGTCAAGTTTTGATGTAATGATTTATGTTTTATCTTATTATACTTCATTTTGTTAAATTTCATTATTTCTTAAAAACCTATTCTTTTCTAATGAGACACAGAAAGGGAGTAGATCTGGAAGTGGGGAGGAACTGGGAGACATGCAAGGAGGGGAAACTGTAATCAGGATATATTGTATAAGAAAATAGTCTTTTTAATAAAAGGGGGAAAAAGAAAAAAATTCCTAAAATAGAGGTCTTCCGAGATCACTTTCTTCTTTTTAAAATTTTAAATATAATTTAAAAATATTTTTCCAACTTGAAGAATACTTTTATTTTTTGTTAGAACAAAATCTTGCAAATAATACTGTTTTATTTCATTCTGATTGACAATTATACTTGTTTATGCTTCAGAATACAGTTTTTATATTGTAAACAATGCAGAATGATCAAATCAAGCTAATTAGCATATACTTTATCCCAATTCAAGCACTTATTGCTTTGTAAGGATATTTAAAATGTTACCATTTGATTATTCTGAAATGTTTGAATACATTATTGATGATTGTTTGTAAAAATCTTATATGAATTGGTGTTTTGCCTGCATGTATGGGTGTGTAAAGTTGTCAGATACCCTGGAACTGGAGTTACAGACAGGTGTGAGCTGCAATGTGGGTGCTGGGAATTGAACCCAGGTCCTCTGGAAGAGAAGCCAGGGCTCTTAACTGATGAGCCATCTCTCCAGCCCCTGAGATCACTTTCAAAGGTAAAAAAATGAAAGATGTTCCTTGTTACTTTCAAACATAAAATCATTACATTAAAAAACTTTCAGTACTTTGCTCACAAAAAGGTACGTTTTGGAGGTGATAGATTTTTTTTGATTAACTTAATATCACCATCCACACTTTAAAAATATGCAACAACTTCAAACTGTATCACATTAATGGATGCAATAATTATTTCTTAATGAAAAATGATTGCTGAAGCTGGGCTTGGTGGAACAAGCCTATAATTCCAGCACTCTGGAGCAGGAAGATCAGGAGTTAAAGATCTATTTCAGCTACACTGAGAGTTTGAGGTCAACCTGGGTTGTGTGAGACCCTGTCTCAAAAACCTAACCAATCAAGCAACCAAGCAATTAAAGTCCCCCTCCCCTCCCAAGAAAAGTGTAAAAGGATTGGCTCTCAGACTCTAGCCTTGACTTTCTGGCACTTATGTTTTGGCAGAGTTGTTTATCTTTTTCATCTTCCATTAGAAGTATAAGTGAACTCATAGAAGCTAGGAATTCAGAACTGAGTCCCCTGAACCTCTTCACTGCATCATGATCTCATAGGCACATGGAACTGCCAGCCTCCTAGGTAGAAAGGCAACAATGTTCTCTACAAGCCAACCCAGACTCTACCCATTGCTGCTTCCAGAGTTAGGTTCTGTCTACAGATTTCCCCTGTACTGGCAGGTGAAGGTACTGCCTGGGTCATGATGTTCCTAGTGCCCCAACCAGTGACCGTCAGATGGCGCAAGACAGAGGATCTGTAAAGTTTCCCAGAGGAAGAGGTAAGGTAGCCTTGCTGAAAAATGTTACTGTTTCCTTTGAAGGTAAATTTTAGTCAATACTTTGTGTAATATGAAAACAATTGCTATTTAGGGAGCTAGCCAGCCCCTCATCTACCAATCTATTCATTCTCTAAAGAGTCCTATGATATAAGAAACATCCCTGGGTCTCTATAATGTATTCTTCAACTCTGGCTTATGAGGCTGAATTAAGGTATCCGTAGACACATGACTTTTCATGTGACCTGGGTGATTGTTTTCATGGAAACATCTTGAATTTACTCAACATTATTTTTCTTTGTGCCTACTGCTGCTAAGGTGAAGTCTTTCTTTTTATGTATTAATTCATTGCAAAGCTAGAGGCTTAATTTTGTAGTGTAGAGAGAGGGAGGGAAGATGAAGGAAGAAAAGTAGAGAGGAAGATGGAGAATACAGTGAGCAGCCGCGGGAGGCTAAGGATGAGAGTGAAGGGGGGGGGTTGGGAGGAGGGGGAGTAGAGTAGCGGCAGCCAAGGGATTAGGGGTAGAAGGTCAAGAGATTAGGGGGAGAAGGTGGTAGACGACTAGCCGATCTGGAGTTAAAGATGGAATTAACTGGGCAGATGATGAGAAAAAGAGATGGGAATAGATGAAAACATGGAGAGAAATAAGAGATGGAGGAGGAAGAGAGAGATGAGGAGAGGGGGGAGATAGGAAGCCAAATGGAGTAGAAAAGGATATGAAAAATTAGCAGACTGAGTCTAGCTGTTCAGAGACATAAGAGTGGGAAGAAGAGGGAGGAGGGGAGAGATGACGGGACCAGGAAGAGGCAGAGGCTGTGACTGGATCCCAGGTCTGCAAGATCTTTAGAGTAAGCCAGGTTTATTAACCATTTTCTGACACGAGAAACATGGTCCAGCCCGTGGGTATCCTGTTGGTTTTCATCTGCCTGCTTCACAGTCTGTTCAGTCTTCAAGAGGAAGGTGAGGCACGGGAGTGAGTGTGGCTGGGGGCGAGTTTTAGATGAAGTAGCTGCATACTTCACTACCATGTGTAACAAATTCTGAGATGTCCTATATGGGAGAGGCCACCTTGATTTTGTGTGTCTTGATAAATAAAAGGGCAAGTTCTTTATTGCCCAGTTTTTTTTTAAAGTATAAAAAAACAAGATCTGCCAAAAACGCTCAAAACTAGCAAGACTAAACTAACAAGGGAGAAAGCCAGATATCACGTTACAGAGCAAGTTTTCTTTTTCATGTTTTAAATGCCTACAGAAGGAGAAAAATGAGACTTAGTTATGTAAAACCTATTTTATTTCATTATCCAAGTTGCGTTGTCTTGAGTGGCTCTGAAATGACTATTTACAGAGGGACTTTATTCTGCTTCATGTCTTAGTATTGTGAGGATTGTGAAGAACTGTGCATTCTGATTTTTATGGAGTGACTGAGAGCACATGCTCACTTAAGTACTCCTCAGCATGGTTTAAAATAGCTAAAAGCCAGAATGGATAAGTGTTTAAAAATGAAAGAGAAAAAAGGAAGAAGAGATTCTTGTTGTGCGACCATTCTCCATTAGCTGGAATTCCTATTTTATGATCATTGGAAGATAACACCTTTTGCCTTAGCTGTGTGTCTTTATTTTAAAAATTAAATGTTTATTTGTGTATGTGCATGCACACTATGCATGTGGAAGTCAAAGGACAACTTGTAGGAGTCTGTTTTCTCCCTCCACCATATGGATTCCAGGGATCAAACGCAGGCCATCAGGCTTTGGCAGCAAGCACCTTTTTCCTCTGAGATACCTTGCCAGCCCAGGTCACTCTTTTACCATGTACACTATACACAGTACACGTCTAAAAAACTGATAAGATGTTCTTAAGACCTCTCCACACTCACCGTCTGGCCTCTGAAGGGGCTAACATCACTACATGATTATTATTATATCACTGCTATTTAGATTGAGATCCCATGCATCCTGGGCATGTTAGCCGCTACTTAGAATGACGTAAGACTGCTTTAGTTTTGGTCATCCATCTATTGCTTTTTCATGTTCCTCTTTTAGACAGTTCACGAACATTTGCTTTCTAGAATTACAAGGGGCCTCATCAATGCCTTTTTGTCCAAAAATGAGTGTTTTTACCTCTGTGAATATACATACACCATGTGCATTCCTGGTGACCATGGAGGGTTGAAGAGATGCCCTGGAACTGGAGTTACAGGTGGTTATGAGTTGACATGTGGCTCCCGGGGAAATGAACCCAAGTTTTCTCTCTGCAAGAGCAGCAAGTACTCTTCACCACTGACATATCTCTCCAGTTGTCACCTCAGTTTTGTTTTACACTGTGTGTGTGTGTGTGTGTGTGTGTGTGTGTAGCTTATCACAGTGCCTATGTGTGGAGGGCAGCTTGTGAGAGCAGAGTCTCCCCTTTCACTATGTGGGTTCTAGGGATATGACTCAGATCCTTAGACTTGTCTTGGTGGTAAGCACCTTTACCTGCTAAGTGCCTATGAGACTTCTGTCTGAGCCCCTGAAGTGCATACTGAAAGCTTGTGATGTTGCTCATAGTAGTCAGTGTGGGCTGTCATGATCATGTTTCCACCACAGTCAGTCTGAAGATGATAGAATGTCATCAGAAGTTAGAGGCGTTCTGCTTTCAGAGAAATCAGACAATGCAAACGATTAAGTTTTAGCATTGTGGCAGTGATAGGTTGGTAGGCTTTGGGGTGAAAAAAATAAATGTCACAGATATCTTCAGTCAATGATTGAACAGGCACGTGGGAAGGCAGAAGACACAGGCCTTGAGCAGTACATGCTGAAACTATTTACGATCATGGCCTGGAGAAGGAAAAGTGACTGAGTTGGAACCACTTCACAGAGGGCTGGTTTGATTGATCTTATTCCAGAGTTGAAGTTATTATTATTTTGGTAACAAAATATAGAATCAGAAGCTAGCAAATGTTAACCTCATTTGCTTTCTATTTATTTTTATTATTGTTTTAAGAATTTTATATATGTATATATATATCCTCATTTCCCCCTTCAATTTTCTCCAACATGTTCCATCCTAAACCTTTAAAAAAATATAACCCAGTAAGTCTAGTTAATGGCACCCAAGAATGCACGGGTGTGCCTATCCACTGAGGCATGACAATCCTATCAGTAACCACACCCCCAAAAGCTTGTGAATGCCAACAGCTTTCCAGTAAGGTATGGACCTGGAGAGATCATCTCCCTCATTTGTGCTGGAACTTTGGCTCTATTGATCTTGTGAAAGACAATCACAGCTGTCATGAGTTTGTGAGTGTGCCAGTCACGCCATGTCTAAAGGGCAGAATTTCACAACACCTCTTCCCACACTTTGGCTCTTATGTTTTTCTTTTTTCTTTTTTTTTTTTCCTGCTCCCTCTTCTGCACCATTCCCTAAGCCCTAGGAAGTGGGACTTGATATGAATGTCCCATTCAGGGCTGAGCACCCAGTATCCTATGTTTTCTTGTCTTAACCCTTTGATTGCTTATATTTGGATGTTAATCATAGGGAACGTCCCCAAAATTACTCTTCCTAAAGGCATTTCTCTTCTTAATTTCTGTAACTTTGGATTGCCTTATAGTGGAGTTGGTTGGTAGGTAATGGGTCACACGTGGAAGTTGTGTTGTATTTATTTTTGTGTTGCTTTGTCATGTTTTACAAGCTTGCTACAGTGGGTTGGTTTTCACTTCTCTCAAGTTTGTTGGGATGTTATGTTTTCTCTCATTTTTATTAGAGGAATATCTACAGGAGGTTGGTGAAACACAGTATTGGTTATCAAATGGGTAATTGAAGTTATCTCATTTTGGCTATGTACCAACAGAACCAAGAGTAAAGCTGGATACTCAGCACCAAGTTGATTAGGTGATGTCAAAATGTTGATCACCCCTTGGGTTCTATGAATCTGCTGGAGTCAGAATACCAACTTGATGTCCAGTCAAACCTATCTATTAATTGAAGGCTGTGGTTACAACCATGGGCACCGATAAACTGGGCCCTCAGCTGTGTAGAGTCCAGATCCTGCAGCAATATTTGGAACATGAGGAATAGGAAGACAGCTCATACAATGACCTGGGAGACCAAAACTCCATTATTTTTCTAAAACATAATATTTTTATTGATTATTTGGAAATTTTATGTAAGGCACCCTGATCACATTCACTTCCAAGTCCTACCAGAATACACCTGCACCCACACCTTATAACCTCCCTCAAAACCAAACAAGAGGAAAAAAAAATAAAGAAGAAAAAAAACCAAGTCTAATTTGTGTTGTCAATATATTCACTGGAGCATGGTCAAATCCTTAGTAGTCACCCCCTTAAGAAATACTGAGTCCTTTCCCACCCCAACACCTACCAGAAACCATCAAAACATTCTCTTCACAGGCTTCTGGTCTAGACTGTTTCTCCTTTGCGGGGGGTGGGGGGGGTAGAAAAGAGGGATTGTCACTGAAGCCTCCTATGCCTCTCATTTCAACTGTGAGCCTCCAGTCATCCATATCACAACAAAAAGCTTCTTTGCCCCTTATAGTAAGCGGCAACCTGGATCATAGCATTCCACATGGTTTCTGGCTACAGCACAGGCCATAGACATCAACATAGATTCGGGGGACAACACAAACCATGGACATCCTCATGGCTTTCAGTGATAACATGGGCTACAAACATCAACATGGCCCTCCGTTTCTGAATGCGTGGTCATTGACACCACCATGATACCCGATGGCAGCATGAACCATAGACATCAGCATGGTTTTAGGCGGTAGCACAGTTCATGGACATCAACATAGCCTCCAGTAGCTGCAAAGTCCCTGGACATTAGCATAGCTTCAGGCAGCCTGGGCACTGGAGCCAAAGCTCGTCTCTGCACTGACCTCTAAGATCACTGGGCTAGAGTCCAAGTCACAAGGGTACTTACTCTCTTCTCCTGTTTAAACAATGATCTTTAAGCTACATTTTTCACAACAACTGAATTTGGTGAGATTTTTTTTTCATTTTAAGTGTTAAATTTATTGAAATAAATATTTGTTCCCAATTGTGTCTTTCAGATTATTATGCACCAACTATGGGTGAGTTTGCTTCAAAACCTTTTATTAGAAGTTGTGAAAAATATGTGACAAGTGGGTAGTCCATATTTTTAAAAGATGAAATAATACTTTATGTGTATATACAAGGCAAAGTAAGTTCTTTAAAAAATAGTTGAGGAATTTGTATGGATTGAGCTTGCGTGGGTCCTGTGTATGCTGTCAAAGTTGCTGTAAATTCAAACCTGCGACCATCCTGCTGTGTCTGGTAAACACTGTTTCCCTAAATTCATCTACTGTACTTTCTCTGACAATATTTCTACTCCCTCATTCACGATGATCCCTGAGCCTGGGGAGGAAGAAGTGTGGTGTAGATGTCCCATTTAAGGTTGAAAATCCCACAGTGAGTTGTTCTCTAAATGTTGACAAGTTGTGGGTGTCTGTTAAATGCCAGCAATAACAAAAAGAGGCTTCTCGGAGGAAGACTGAAATCTATGAGTGTAGTAGTAAGTTATTAGGAGTAGTGGGCAGGAAGTCCCACCCTTCACTGAGGAGCTATCGCTACTTGATAGCTTCTAGAGAAAAAGAGTTACTTCTCTTCAAGGAGGTTGACTCAGGTAAGTTGCCCACACTCCAATGGATGTCCACACACCCAATAGCATATAGGGAAAAATTTGGGTAGGTATGTAATGGGGTGTGGATCCAGAAGGAGCTTCTATATGGAGTGAGTATGATCAAAATATAATATATGAGATTAATAAAAATATTAAAAATAAAAAATAGAAAGAACAATGATGTTTTCACTATTTTTAAGTGATTAAATATGTCATTATGAACACGTCAAACTGTTATTTCTTTTCTCAAAGACTGACTACTTAAGAAAATATTGAAGCAGAACTTTCTTGTGTCTCTTCATATGGTTATTTTTGATAACAGCTGAATGTACTATAAAGCATGTTTTTCTTTAAAATTCCCTTACTGACTTTAATTTACTATTTCTAGGAAGAACTATTTTACTTTTAATTGTATGTGTGTGCATGTGTGCATGTGTGTGTGTGTCTGCTGGTACCCACAGAAGCCTTGATTTGGACTTACATGCTCTTTGACTGTTACAACCCATCTACCCCTCTTCCATGATATTCCCTGAGCCCCAGGGGTAGTGCATATGATATGAATGTTCTATTCATGGCTGAACACTCCATAAGTACCTACTCTCTACACTTTGACCCATTGTGTTTTTCCAAGTTAACTGCTGTGAATGGCATTCTTAATTGGAGTACTATTCCAACTAAACCTTAGAAATATGGGATTATCTATTGCCAACAATACTAGTTAACTTGACTGGAGAGGGGACTTCTAATTTATTTGATATTATGAAAGAGAAATAACCTATAAGCCTTTATAAAATAATAGGCTACTTGAAAAGTTGATAAAAAATTATTAGAATCTGTCTTTGTGACTGATATAAATATATTGTAAACACATTTTCTGGATAATTAATGTTAATAGCCAGATAGACACTGATAAGAGAGAAGGTACTCTCTTTTACACTGATGATGAAATGTACTTTGAATTTAAGTCATTAAAGAGATGTATAGGATTAGGAGAGACTCTGCCTAGAATCCCTCAGTGAGGGGTTGCGGGTGTGGCTCAGTTGGTAGATCACCTGCCTAGAGTCTCTCAGTGAGTGACTGGGAACATGGCTTATTGCTTTCCCAGTGTGCACAAGGCCCGGGTTCAGTTCCTAGGAATGAAAAATATGTAGGATTTCAATAAAGTAAACCATTTAGGTGGATAGAACTGAGTCTGAAAAACAGTACATGTGTGTTATCCCCAACATACCCTCATGCCAATGTTGCTTTTCCTTAGCCTAACATAGCTATTAATGTCATTTGCTACAAGAGTCTATTTTAAAGCCTAAGACTGAAATGAACTTTACTCAAATTTTTGTCTCTCAGATTCTGTCATTAGTAAGCCAGAGACAGAAGGTAAGTTGATCAGAAAATTTTTGTTATTAATATATGTTCTTTCTCTTAGAATTTATATCTTTATTTTTATTTTAAGTGTATGGGTGTTTTACCTGTCTGTATGTCAGTCTGTTCACTATATGCATGCCTAGTGCATGGGAAGGCCAGAAGAGGGCATCAAATCCCCTGGAATTGAAGTTACAAATGATTGTAAGCATCCATGTGGTAACTGGACCCAGGTCCTCTAGAAGAGCAGCCAGTGCTCTTAACCACTAAACCACACTCCAGTGCCTTTGTGTACTCTTCTGATCCCATAAAATGGGAACATTGATGATTCTTCTAGTAAATTTTTCTTTCCCCTCTGTGTTTTCATAAAACATCATGTATGACACTTGTAAACAGATAAAACCACGAACTATGCTACCATGACGTCTTACCAATACTAAAAATGCATACTTTTAAACTTCTACCATTTTCATAGAGAATCCCGGATTTTAAAATTTATATGAAAAAATTTATATGAAAACCAACCAATAATAATTTGGGATATTGTGAACAAAACAGTGATGAGATAGAAAAACACTTTATTTTATAATCAACTGTCTAACCATAGTATAGATGTTTCAATATAAAAACACGGCATCAACCTAGGCAGAGTCAAATACGTAATGTGTTTCTAAACATGTGGAATCCAGGAATTTCTCGTTTTTTTTCCACAATGGCATTCATAGTTCTATTGTGGCTTTGATCTCAGAGGTCAGGGATTTGGAGAAAAAGCTCATCTTTTTTAAGAGTTACTTTCAGTTTTTGGTTATGTATGTGCCTGTGTCTCTATTTTGGTGTGTTCATGGGAGTACAAGCACCTGTGCAGGCCAGAGGTATAGGTATTCCCCTGGAGCTTGAGTTACAGGAATTGTGTGAGTTGCCTCACTGGGGTGCTGGGGATTGAACACGGATCTTCTTGTGTATGTGCTCTTAACCACTGAGCCATCTCTTCAGTCCTGGAAGGACTCACTTAATAGTTAAAAATAGAATAGTTTTAAAAAATATAAAAGTATATTATATAGAATAGTTTCTATTATATAGAATAGTTTATACTTATTCTTCAGCAATTTCACATATGTAAACAATGCATTTTGACATATCCATCTCTAAGACCCTGTTCCAATCCCCTAATGTCCTTAACACCCCTTCCTCCTTTCATGTCCTCTCCATTTTTTCCTGTTTTGGTAACTCTCTGAGTACAATTAATGATGCAGGCTGGAATGTTGACTCATCTTGTTGGTTAGATCTTAGGCAGGTCCCCACAGCTGTAGTGAGATCGTGAGAGTGACTGTCATGCTGTGTCTAGAAGATACTATGTTTCCAATCCCCTTCCTATTCTCCTGCCCTTACATTCTTCCCATTCCCTTTCTGAGATGTTCTCTGATTCTTGTGTGTGTATGTGTGTGGTAGGTTGATACAGATGTCTCATTTAGTTAATTAAAAAAATACTACCAACACGCTCAGGAACGATGGATAAAGGATTTTTGTGTTCTTTTAGATGGTGAATGTGTCTTTCCATTCTGGTATAGAAATGAAATATTCTACGACTGCGTCACTTTCAATGCAAAACACAAGTGGTGTTCTTTGAACAAGACTTTTCAAGGTTACTGGAAGTACTGTTCTCTCTCAGGTGAGAGTCTTGACTCTAAACTCCACAGGTGAGAGTGTCATCCCTTGTATTGGAAATAATTTCATGTGATAGGCAAGAACTCAGAATCCAGAGCAAATTCTGAAGTGAAAATAAGAGATACACAACTTCTTTGGTGGGGTCATGTGTGAATGCATATGCTATATGTGTTAGTATGTGTGGCTGTGTAATTGTGAGTGTGTGGAGACCAACGTCATGTGTCTCCTTCGATTACTCTCTACTTTATTATTATTCATCTTTTCTGAGACAGGGTCTCTCATTAAATCTGGAGCTCACTAATTTGTTAAAACTACCTGGTCAGGAAGTCCAGAGGATCCACCTGTCTCTAACTTCACACTGTTGAGATTAGAGGCATGTAATACTATGCTTGGTTTTTTATTTGAGTCCTGGGGATCTGAACTTGGGTCCTCATGCTTGCACAGTGAAGACTTTATTTACTGAGATATCTTACCAGTCCCTGAGATACATAATTTCTGATAGCATCAAAATCACATATAATCAAAGATGTATTAGAAATGTTTTGACTCCATCATCTTTTAAGAAAACTACCAGTAGAACATAAAAGGAGAAGAGGATTGCAGTTTACTACCAATCTATTTTTTTTAAGTTATTGGTGTACTAAGGAAGAGCAGCTTGTGTAGAATTGTGTGTTTGTGTATGTATGTATGAATGTCTGTATATGTGTGTGTATATATATGTATGCCTATACATGGATGGTATATGTCAGTATGTGTGTATGTCTGTATATGTTTGTGTGTGTGTGTGTGCGTGCATGTGTGTGTGTGTGTCTGTCTGTGTGTATTTGCTGCAAAGAAGAAAGTGTTTATCTTCCCAATGACTCCTTCTCTTACAGACTATGCTCAATGTGCCTTTCCCTTCTGGTTCAGACGCATGATCTACTGGGATTGCACAGAGGATGGGGAAGTGTTTGGAAAAAAGTGGTGTTCACTCACTCCAAATTTCAACAAAGACCACATTTGGAAATATTGTACATAATGATGAGATTGACTAGATGAAGATAAGGAGGAGGAGAAGGAAGAGGAAGAGGAAGAGGAGAACTGAGGGGAACTACTCAGTTTCCTTGGAGAGTATCCCTCTTTCTTTTGGTCAGGAGAGGAAGAGGTGGAATCTTGATTTCAAGCTTTTGTTCAAATTTAAATTTTCTTCTTCTAGGATGTGAGATGATGATGCTCTGACTGTAGATGACTTCAGGTTTAAATGATGTATTATGGTATTTTATGGAGAGTTATTATTTAGCTTCCATATTTTATTTGCTATGTATATAAAAGCTCTTAAAAAATACCATGTCAGGTAGAAGCAACCTATCAGTGTCGTTTCTTTATTGTCGCAGTCACACTGCTCAAATGGGGCTGTTGCTAATGGGGGGGGTGATGCATGTGTAGAACAAAGAGAACATGAAAAATCTACATAACTTCTGCTTGATTTTGCTTTGATAATGAAAATGTTCCAATTAAGTCAAGTAAACGTTCATTGCTGAAGAAAGGCCAAATGTGAGAACACAGTTCATGCGCTGTTGCATGCCCACTTTGTTTTGTATCTGAACCAACTTATCTCATGCTCCATCCTTTCCACTCCCACCATTTGTAACTGACAGCGAGGAATTCCTCAGCAAATGCCTTATTTTTTTCACTCAAAAGAGGGACAGAAAACTGCCAAACCTACCCTAACAGATGAGAAGAATTTTGCTGTGGAAACACCACAGCAACATTGACAAAGCAGCTTTGGAATACTCTGCTGAGAAGCAAAAGCTTCCTAAATTGTCTTCCTAAATTGGAAGATAGCTGAACATAATTTAGTGGATTTTAAATAGAAGATACTGAGGAATTATCAACACTAGACAATAGGGGCTGTATCTGGTGCCATGTGGATGGGTGGGGATTGCACTTACCTTCTTCATCCAGAACATGAAAGAGCCTGTGTAAACCTTAACATCCATGAACTTGCCTGGTAAGCCATCTCCTGGGCTACACAGATTATTAGAAATGGGTTAGATCAATATGTAAGAGCTAGCCAATAAGAGGCTGGCACTAATGGACCAGGCAGTGTTTAAAAGAATACAGTTTCCTTGTAATTATTTCGGGTGTAAAGCTAGCTGTGCGGGCGGCTAGGTGCTAGGAATATATCCCGCCGCTCCAATTACAGCAAGGGGCTGGTGAGATGGTTGTATGGGTAAATTCACTTGCCACCAAGCCTAGTCTGATGACCCGTTTGATCCCTAGAATCCACATGATGGAAGGAGAAAACAGTGACCTTGAACCCTGCTTTCTTCCTCACGATTTAAGATAAATGTAATTAAAAAATAAAGATCAAACTGTAAAGGGGATCATGCTTTCCAATAGTGATGATTATTTTCTCTTGGCATGGCATGACCAAATAAGAACCAGATCTTCAATTCATCGCGACTTTATGTAATTGTAATTGATTATGTACAAATGTAAATCCATAATGAAAGACCCCAGAAAATCTGACTTTTTAAAGGTCAATACTATGCTAGTCATTCACTGTAGAAGGTAAAGAAAACTTTGATTTTATAAAGGCTTGGCAGAGTGGAGATGCAGAACTTGCTGAAGAGTGGAACTGATGTAGCAGCACTATTAGGTTTGTGCAGGGAGCTCATTTGATGAAGTACTTGCCTAGCATGCACAAGCCCTGTGCTCCATCCCCGGTACCTCATAAACCAAGCATGGTGTCACAATCCTGTACACCCAGAATTTGGGAGGTGGAGTCAAGATGATCAGAAGTTTAAGGTAATTCTTGTGGGTTTGAGGCCAGCGTGGGCTACATGAGTCCCTGTCTCAAACAAACAATCACACAAACAAGAACCCCTCCAACCCTCCCAAAACCAATTGTCAGTAATACTCAAGTTGCTCATGGAAAGAACAAAAAAAAAAGGAAGGAGAAATGAAAGAAAATTTAAAACATGCCATTCATGAGAAATTTAAAAGAAGTAAAAGAGTAAATTCGGTACAGAACAAATGATCACTAGGAAAGGTATGCTACCTTAAGACACATGAAACACACTCAAGGGAGATAAGGTAGCCAGTTATTGTGATGCATAAGGCTAAGAGGATAATGAATGAGAAAGGAAATTTTACACTCCAATATTTATTTAATTATGAATCACACAAGAACCTTAGAAAAGCCTCATTCCTAGTCAGTAGAAAAGACAAAAAGCTGTCGGTGGGAACCCCAATGAAGGGATCTGACACACATATGTAGATTCAGAGGCCATTGTGGACAAGGTCATCAGACCAGGTAATCTCAGACTTTTTCAGTGTGGCAGTTTAAAATATCTTTACGAGAACTTCCTTGTTCCACAGAGAAATGTGAGCCTAGAGAAGCGAGGCAGGTAGGAGTGGACTGGACACTTTGGCTGCTGGAGGATCTCCAGAGAGAAACCTAGTATGCGCCCTCCTCTGGGAAGGGTCTGCTTTTTAGAAGGTTTACTTACATGCTTCTGACTCAATTCAGCACTTTCAGTCCTAGTCAGTGTTCATATTCCATTCCAGCCTTCTTCATGTGTGAGTCTGTGTTACTGGCATTGAATATGGGGCCTCTAGGAAGCTAAATCAAAGCTCTACCACTGGGTTGTCTTCTCAGTGCTGCAGTCCAGTCTTTTAGAAAGGGAATGAGCCTTTCTCTGGCTTGTAGGGGTCAGAGGGATCAACACGGCCATGACAAGAAAACCCGTAGAAACAACTAACCTGTCTCATAGGAACTCACAGAGTCTGAACCAACAACCAGGGAGCCTGCCTGGGACCGACCTAGGTTCTCTGCACACATGTGACAGTTGTGAAGCTTGGTCAACTTGTGGAACTCCTAACAATGGGAGCAGGGCTGACCCTAACACTTTGGTGGCTCTTGAGATCCTAGATCTCATACTGGGTTGCCTTGGCCAGCCTTAGTACCAAGAGAGGTGTTTCGTGTTATTGCAACTTGATATACCTTGCTCTGTAGAAACCCATGGGAGGCCTGCTCCTTTCTGAACAGAAACTAAGAAGGACTGGACTGGGAGGTTGAGGGAAGGGAAACTGCAGTTGGGCTATAAAATAAATAATTAATTCAGAAAAGAAAGGGAACAATTGTTTCGTGTGGAAGCCAGGCCTTGCCCAGTCTCATTCAGTGGTAGAAACGAAGGGATGGCATCTCACGTCAAAGACAAAGAAAATTCCTGTCTCCTAGTGCCTCCTAAAGTCTCTTGGCATGTGATCAGGTCTAGCCCTGCCATCTCCAATGAGTCTCAGGTGCCATTTCATCTCCTGCACAGGTGGTAATCTTCAAAAAAGGAGATTGGAAGTTTCCAAAAAGGGCCAATTCTCTTATTTAACATTCCTATCAGAACAGGTGACACAGTAGACTGAGCTACACTCACTTGGAATATTGTCCTTTGTGTTTGTAAAGTCATGAATGTGCATTCCAGACACATGCAGCCCGTTTCTGACCACAGCACACAACATACCTCTGATGTACTCGAAATCCGAACCTCAGATTTGTACAGATGGTACAAATTTCAGGGTGTGCCTACCAAGTGAGAGGGCTGCCTGAACCTTTTATATGAATTATTTTGTCATCCTTTTCTGGACTCAAAGACAAAGATTAGAATATCATTTTATTTTTTTGGTTTTTTCGAGACAGGGTTTCTCTGTGGCTTTGGAGCCTGTCCTGGAACTAGCTCTGTAGACCAGGCTGGTCTCGAGCTCACAGAGATCCGCCTGCCTCTGCCTCCCGAGTGCTGGGATTAAAGGCATGTACCACCATCGCCCGGCATAAAATATCATTTTAATACTTTGTATTTTCCCTCGTTTTTGAGAAAGTTCAGAGAGAGAGAAAGAGAGAGAGATATGCACACAGAGACAGAGAGACAGAAAGATATATAATAGATATGATAGATATAATAGATGATAGAGATAAGTAGATAGATAACCTAAACAAACAAGGAATTAAGCCTTTTATAGAGGCTGGTCATGAGGGTATTGAGTCGTAAGGAAAGTAGAGAGAGATAGCCAGGAGAAGAAGTGTGTAAGTTGTTGGCTAAAGATTTACATACTACATAAAGAAATATGTAGGCTTTAAGGTAAAGATTTACTGCATAAAAAATGTGAGCTGTTGGCTAAAGACCATATGATAGATATATAGAAACAGCAACTGAATGTCCTGGGCATCAGAGTTACAGATTTTTACAGATGTCCAAAGGCATGAAAAAACTGGGAGAAGCAATGGCTGCCCTCATCCTAACATTTCAACAGTATTGTTGCCTATTAATTTAATTTTTGAGTAGTGTACATTCATGTAAGAATGATGGCAATCACTTCTGGGGAGCTATGAAGCCCAGCACAACTGTGCCATGTGCCATCTGGATCAGACTCAAAACATGTGGAGGAGCTGCAAACAGATAGATGGGTTGGATATACAATGTTTACCAAAGTTCATTACCCTAGAGAGATGTACAAATGGATAATGGATAACTATTAGAATTCATGCCAAGAAAGACTTTCTACTTTTTAACGATTCACCTATGCACAGGGAATGTGGTTGATGAAGTTCTTTGTAAGTATGTCATGGGGAGATTGATGCCAGTTTCTCCTAGTAAGGCTTGTGATGGACACTGACCAAGCAGTTATAAGTAAACATGGGAGGTCCTCAGTAAGGTTTTGTGCCAAGGAGAAGTATGTCTGCTTTCTCTCTCTACTCACTTGCCTCCTTAAATGCAGGCCTTCTTCCCCAAGGTTGCTATTAAAATAATTTAGTAGTATATCTTGTATCTTTTATAACATTGGGAGAGTCTATTTTCTTAGGCAAAAAGCCACAAGTAGCTACTCTATGATCCCAGAGATTCATGGGAATCAGGGGTTTCCCACAGCTAAAAGAAAGAGAGGATAAGGTGTTATTGGTTGGTAAGTATAAAATAACTGTTTGGGGTGATTTGTAAAAAATTTGAAATACTAGTTATTGTCAGTAAAATATGCAATAATAACACTTACTATCTTAGTTTGAGTTTCTATTGCTGTGCAGAGACACCATGATCACAGCAATTCTTATTTATTTGTTTATTTATTTAACATTTTTTTGAGACAAGGTTTCTCTGTAGCTTTGGTGCCTGTGTTGGAACTAGCTCTTGTAGACTACGCTGGCCTCAAACTCACAGAGATCTGCCTACCTCTGCCTCCCAAGTGCTGGGATTGAAGATGTGCACCACCACTGTCAGGTTCAACTATAGCAACTCTTACAAAAGAAAACATTTAATTGGAACTGGCTTACAGTTTCAGAGATTTAGTCATTATTGCTATGGCAGGAAGCATG